GCTGCCGAGATAGGTCGATCTTCCACTCAGCCATCGATATGTACTATTTTTTTTTTTGTTATAAAAGCAAAAGCTTACCTAAAGTTGTAGTATTAGCAACGGGCTTTTTCGTGCTTATTCGTGCTTTTATGAAATTTTACTGAACGCCGATGCACGCACGNCTCTGCCAAAAGCCCGGCCCGTGCCCATCTCTAATACAAATACACCAATTCAACTTTTTTGACAACTGACGGTGACGGCGACGGTGACGCAATGGCCGTTATGCACTTTGACTTTTAGTCGCATGTTCCTTTGCGATTGCTCCCGGAATCATCCNAACACCAATTCAACTTTTTTGACAACTGACGGTGACGGCGACGGTGACGCAATGGCCGTTATGTACTTTGACTTTTAGTCGCATGTTCCTTTGCGATTGCTCCCGGAATCATCCCGGATTACTCGCACTTTTTGCAGGGATATTTTTAGAGTTCGCTTAACAGTTCTCCGTAATTTTGATGAGTACACCACCTGCGCTTCTAAGTGAGCTAAGACACTCCACTGAGAATGCCGCTGTTGTGTCATCACTTTTAACACACCCAGTTTGTGCGGTCCAGTTTTCTTTCTTTGTTTATAATAATGATAGCTTTTTCACTTTTAATGAATAGTTAGCACGACTGAAAATACATAGAATAAATATAGTATACTCATATACATACATACATATGTACAAATGCACTCCATACATATCCCCATACAGATATATGTATGCATGTATGAATGTATACATGTATACTCGAGGAATATTAGAGTACCCTTTTTAAATGTAATGTACTAAATACATACATACATACATTTGCGCATATTCACATAAAACACTACTAAGTAAATTTTGATAAATTATGAAAAGGTACAATTTCTTTTTAGAATAAGATATTATTTTAAGACTTTATATCAACAAAAAAAAATAAGTGCCTCCATCAAATATGTATATTAGATATCTCTGTATTCACATTTGCAATTCGTCACAAACCAAAAAATGACAGTATATTCTTCCATTTCATTCCAGAAATCCATGATTATGCTTTAATGGTTGGCATTGATCCAGTTAAAGAGCCTCATTTGCTTTATTTGGCGAAAGAGGGATTAATGCAAGCGCTGCCAACAGATTGGAAAATATGGTATGTTTGTATTTATGAGTATACACTATATTGCACAAAAATATCGGCGCGGCGGCGGCGGCGGCGGCGGCGTTCGGCACCTAAGGAATTTTGTACAAAATTTTCATGATGTATGTACATTGATATACATCGTTTGAAGGAACTAAATACTACTCGTTTAAAAACACAATTTTACGAAATGAAAATTACTTTTTAGAGGAGTTTTTTTTTTTGCATAAATTGGGCCACTGGACAAGAATATGATCTCCTTTATTTTTCCAAAAAGAGCGTAACTCAGAAAAAACATAGGTAATATATTTTTCGATCGAAACCGTTTATTACAGTTAAATTAGGGTCGAATACTGGTAATCTAACGATTTTCTTCCGCAGTAGACAACTGTTTCCAATACTACAACAACAATAAAGTTATAACACATCAAAAAATTTTACGCCAATATCTCAGAAAGCGGTTTTAACCGAAGCAGCTTCTGTTCATCTAACCCATTCCATCTAACTCCTNGGCTCCAAAAATGGAGTTTTTTATGAATAAAAATGGTTTCTTAAAGAACTTTTTGCCCCTCAGATGACAAAACAGATTAAGCTTAAAAAATCTGCATAAAAATATTTAANTTTAAACGGACTTTAAATAAAGAGCAGCCAATTTTTTTTGCATTTTTACATTCGTAAGTTATTTTATTCTGGGGTCCCACANCAAAGTTGATTTTCCTGAGTATTTTTTTTTATTTTAAACAGACTTTAAATGAAGAGCAAACAATTTTTTTTTGCATTTTTACATTCGTAAGTTATTTTATTCTGGGGTCCCACATACGTATACAAGTACTAGGTGGCTCTGTGAAAATTATGTTAGCATTCCTTAATGGTGGTCAAACCCCAGGAAGGTTTTGCTCCCTCGCATCGCAACGTTTTCTACAAAGGGTTAAAGTTCCCCCTTTTTGGTAAAAATTAGTATTATTTTTCATTACATTCGGTTCTCCTTAGAAAAATTTGGCGCTTAATATTTTAGTGGACATTTTAACCATCTATAAGCCATTTTTTTAAACCAGTGGGTCAAAAACCCGTTCTGGTTCGAGTTGATGGGTTAAACTTTTGGTAAAAAGTAGACCAACCTTGTTTTCAATATGTAATCCGCAAAAAATCGTAAGAACTCCGTAATTTAACATAACAGTTGATAAGAATATTGCAAGAATTTATTGATAGCGACATAAATAATCCCAATAACTTAACTTTTAAAATTGTTTATTTCTTTAAATTTAAATAGTACATACGGATCTGTCCTGCAGAAAAAAATTATCAATTGATAAAAAATAACCCAGTTGTAGTTAGCTTTTTTGCGGGATTTCTATAAAATATATAGCTTGTAGTTAGCTACAAAAAGCTAGCTTGAAACTAGTTGACAAGTAATGCAGGAGTAATGAAGGAGATTGTTTTCTTTAAACGCGTTTGGATAAACGCGTTGCCGACAAGTAAAAGGAAGATCGAAATTTCATATTATCATTTTGAAGTTATGTCTGACGTAGTTCGAATATGGGACCACCTACAGCAGAATATGAAAACAAATATGAAAATAATAAAGTAAATAAAAATAAAAATACAACTAAAAGAAATATTTTGTTTTTCCTATTGATATTTTATGTCCAAAAGTAGTTAGTTACATCTAATGCAGAGGTAAACCACCCTTGACTATTTCGCGGCCATCGCCATGGAAATATAGTTAGCTTTCGTCAAAGAAAATATGCAGATAATAAGTGACTTTTAGCTCCTTCCTAAACAACTTAAAGTTAGCTTATAGTTAGATACATTTCCTGCAGGGTGTAGAGAACATATAGAGCCATGTGTGTATGTATACAGGGTGTCCCAGAACTCAACATCAAGCCGAAACGGGGTGACAGGATTGATTGTAACCATCATGAGAAAAATCAGAAAAAAAAAATCTATCCCATGAGGGTTTGAAAATTATGGGCATTTTAGAAAAACCTAGGAATTAGGTCAAACTGTAACCATTTTTCGGTTACTGCGGTTAATTTTTATTATTTTTGTTCATTTAAACTTTGGAACCTTAACCCTAAATAACATTTCTAGAACCTAAGTCAAAAATAATGACACAATTGCCC